GGGGGCTCTCCGCAGAAGGACCCTGGTGGGCTGGGCGGAGGGGGCCTGAGCCCAGCATCCCGCCCACCTCAAGGTGGCAATGGTGTGCTCCTGAGAGGCACTGGCGGGCACAAGGTTGGTGCCCGTGCCCTGGCCAGCCTGGGCCCAGCCCAGTCGCTGCCTGGCATGGGCCCAGGGGAAACAGCCCAGCCCACTGCTTCCCTGGTTGGGCTTGGCCACCATGACTCACTGGACAGCGCTCGCGGCTAGTGGCTAGACTCCTGGGGGGCGGGGGGCGGACTGGACCCATTTACAGGCATCTGATGCTTACCAGCCGAGTGGCCTGAAGCTTGCGGCTTACCAACACTCAGAGCGAGCAAGAGAGAGACAGAGCGGCAGATACCACATACCCATGCCCCAGGCAGGGAAACTGAGGCCCATGGGGCCACGGCCACTCAGCAGCTCCCTGGCGAGGTTACCCCCATCCTTAGCTCTCCTTGCCTACCCTGATAGGCTGGTGCTGGGCCAGCGGGCAGTCGGGGCCAGTGGTCACGGGTGAGGTCAGCGGGTGAGCAGGGCCCTTCAGAATGAGTCACTAAGGGGAGGGGTTCACTGAGGGGGTGCCCGAGTCTGGTCTGCAGTGACTCAGGGGGCAGGCGGGAGGGAAGTCTGGCTCAGAGCGCCACCTCCACCCCAACACGGACACGAGGCCAGGTCCCGTGGCCAGCCGGAGGGGAGCCCACAGCTGCCCTCAAACCTTGGGATAGTGAGCAAAGCCTGCTGCCCATGGCCAGCCTCCGGGCAGGGCCCTGGCATTGCATCCTAGGGGACAGCAGGAGGGACAGGAAAGAGACCTCGGGGAGGGCAGCCCACTCCACAGAAGGCTTGGAGAAGCCACCGGGGGGGGGGGGTCCCCCACCTGCAACCCATCCTGCCCTTGTCCCCATGTCATCACAGACAGCTGGAAACACGCAGCAGCCAGGGAGCATTTTGGTTCAAAAAAGGAAGCATCTTCTCACGGGCAGGAGGGCTGCTATGGGAGAATGTCTAATAGAGTGTGTGTCCAGTCCCAATGCTACTGCCGGGCAGGAGGTGCAGTGGCCAGGCTGTGTGGTTATACAGCTAGGGTGTTTCCTGAGACAGGTAACAGGCCAGGGCTCCAGTCTTACTTGTCCTTCCACCCATCCATCCATCCATCCACCCATCCACCCACCCATGCACTTACCCACCCATCCATCCACACACCATCCACCCATCCATCCACCCA